ATTGAGGATGGCATGACCCATAAATAGGAGGAGGATCAAGGGCAAATGTGGAGTGATTTGGATGGACGTCTGATATTGAATCCCATGATTGTGGAGTATTTGTCAGACATTTGAAGGTCATAATGATATTAGAATTCAGAGATCTTAGGCTCATTGGATTTGTCTCGTCGAGCAGCTTGATTTGACTATAAGCATGTCACGTTTGGAAACCGTTTGGTAATCCAAATCGTGGCTTGAACCTTCCAATAGTGCTTCAGGTCTTCAATTCGGACCCATTTGGGCTTGGATTGAGTTGAATTTGGTGTCGTCGGGTTCGTATTTCCGAGAAGCTCAATTCGACTATAAGTTTGCTGAAATCAGAGTTCAGATGATCCCATATTTAATTTTTGAAGTTTCCAACTTGATTTTTGCCTCGAGATTCATGTCTGATTAAGATAATTTTTTGTGATATAACAGGACTCATCACACTAAGGGACATGAGCTTTAAATTCATGCATGAGACCAAAAAAAAAAAAAAAAGAGTTCAAAAATATATTTATTTATTTTTTGTTCTTTATTTAATTGAATGTAGATTGTTTATGATTGTTGTAAATATTTATTATTTGATTAATCGGTTTTATTTCAATGTGTTATGTTGTAGTTGTTGGATTGCAGTATATTATGTTATAACTATTGAATTGCTTTCAACTGTGTTTATCACGTACCAAACTCTAATCGAAAGAGTTTAATACAATATTAACAACACATAGCTATAACAATTCATCAAATAGTAAACATAATATCTTCATTTCATTCATTCATTCATATCATCAAAAGAATAATGAACATAAATCCAAATACATTTTTTTTCCTCACATGGCTCTATAAGCATAAGATCACAAGATTACCAAAAGAATACTTATATAAAAACACACCTACGACCTATACTGTAAACCTTGTCAACTAGTCTTACTTGATCGTGGTCTTACCATTTCAAAAAATAACATGCAAGTAACTTGGGCGAGTAAAAATGCTCAATAGACTAAACAAAACCTACTAAGGAATTTAATATTTACACTAAAATAAAATTGAATAATAGCGAACATGGTAAAAAACAAGGAAAATAGACTTTTAAATATGGCAATATGACTATTTATGTTGGATGTCATTTCTATCATATATATGTGCAACTAATGTCACATGTTCAGTCTAGTAAGAACATTTTAGTAAACATAACATGAACATTCACTCGAATGTGTTATCAAAAATGAAATACATAAAAAAACAAAATATTTAACATCTCTATGCAAACACATCTCACATTTCCTGATGCCTCTTTATATCTTCACTTTCTCTTATGCCACATATTTTTCCCATGCCTCCTATACCTCCACTTGATCATGTTTTCCCAAAACCCATTATAACTCCACTTCCAATTGTACCTCCACATGATGATTTCACATCTGTTCAGGCGTATCAAATACATAGTTGAAGAAATTACATATGCGCAAAGGCTCTTATAACTCTATTTGTATTGAACATAAATATGCATAGCCACAAAATACACTTCCTCCTTTCTTCTCCCTCCACATCACTCCAACAATTGAACATATCATATCAATCTCATCATATGAACATAAAAACATCAATATTTCAACATTAGCAATACTTAGCATGATATTGAAAGAAACTTCCACTTATACCTGCACATGATCATTTCATATATGTTTATGCAGATTAAACACACAGATTGAGGAATTACATATGTGCATAGGCCCTTATAACTTTACTTATGTTGCACATAAACATATATAGTCGTCACATACACATCTTTCTTTCTCTCTCATCCTTCACATATTCTTTACAAATGAATATATCATATCAATTTCATCACATTAATATAGAAATATCAATATTTTTTGCATACATGAGCAATATTTAACATTATACATGAATATATTAAATTTAATTATACATCTTTCTTTCTCTCCCTCATCCTTCACATATCCTTTACAAATGAATATATCATATCAATTTCATCACATTAATATAGAAATATCAATATTTTTTGCATACATGAGCAATATTTAACATTATACATGAATATATTAAATTTAAAAAGGATAATGAAATAACAATATGTATGAGATAAGCTTGTATACACATTCAACAATAACAATTTATAAAATCATTCATGAATAATGTTCTTTTAAAGTATTTATTGTTCTCTAGCATTTTTTTATCAATGTCAACATGCTCACGACATACTAAAAATAGCGATAAAATTAAAATACCCAATAACAAATGTACACTTTTCTTATCAATGTGACAAGAATGTTCTATTTTACCACATATCAAATATTATATGGTAAAAACTTTCTAAATCTTTGTAAATTTATGTTTGTGTGAACTCAAATCAAATAAAAGACAAGAAATACCCACAAACTTGATGAAATTAAATTATTAAGTGGGGTCACGGGTGAAAATAGACTTAGTTCTTTTTGGTGGGGGGGGGGGGGGCGGGGGAAAAATTT